GGAAAGAGTAGAAAATAGATTAATATGAAAAGTTTAAGAAAGTATATAGATTAATTTTTAGTTATAAAAATTAATAGGTCATAATTTGTCAAGTTATGATTTATAACCAGATAAATTATAGATAAATTTATCAAGTTATGGTTCATAACGAGATAAATTATAGACAATTATAAACAATAACTTATCAAGTTATAGTTCATAACTAAATAAATTATGAATAAAAACAATAATTTAACACATTTATTAACTTATATAAACTATTAACCTGTTAATTTTAATTCATCTCAAATTTTTCACCTATTTTTCTCTTTCTCTCTAATTTTATCACCAATAGGACCCACCTCAATACTCTTCAAATTTGCAAAACCCAAAGAGAGCCTCTGCAACTTCACGTAAAACTCTCACTCTCATTTTCCCTCTCTTCTCCAATGCCGCCTCTTCTTCTCCTTCTCCTACTCTTCCTCTTTCTCTCTCCTCCCTCCTCTCTCTCTCTAAACCAGGAGGGCCTCTACCTTCTCCGCGTCAAGCAAGGCCTCTCCGACCCCAACGAGTCCCTCTCCTCCTGGAACGACCGCGACGACTCCCCCTGCAACTGGTTCGGCATTTCCTGCGACCCCTCCACTCGCCGAGTCAACTCGGTCGACCTTCCGAGTTCGCAGCTCGCTGGCCCTTTCCCCTCCTTCCTCTGCCGCCTCCCTTCCGTCTCCCGCCTCTCCCTCTTCAACAACTCCATCAACACCTCCCTCAGCGCCGACATCTCTGCTTGTCGGAATCTCCAACACCTCAATCTCTCCCAAAACCTCCTCGTCGGTGCCTTACCGGATGGCCTCTCCCAAATCCCGACCCTCCGGAAGCTCGACCTCTCCGGGAACAACTTCTCCGGTGGCATTCCGGCGAGCTTCGGCGAGTTTCCGAGCCTTGAATCGCTTCTCCTCTACGACAACCTTTTGGACGGCGAAATCCCAAGCTTTCTCGGCAACGTCTCGACTCTCCGCGAACTCTTGCTCGCTTACAACCCGCTCTCACCGAGTCGGATTCCGAGCGAAATCGGTAACTTAACGAGCCTCGAGAACTTGTGGCTCGCCGGATGTAACCTCGTCGGCGAGATTCCGGCGAGTCTGAGCCGGCTTTCGCACCTCAAAAACCTCGACTTGTCGATGAACAGACTCAGCGGAGCGATTCCGAGTTCGATCACGGAGTTGACAAGCGTGGTCCAAGTCGAGCTCTACAACAACTCTCTCTCCGGCGAATTGCCTCGGGGAATGTCGAATTTGACAGCGCTCCGGCGATTCGACGCCTCGATGAATCAATTAACCGGGACAATCCCCGACGAGCTATGCGAACTGCCGCTCGAGTCGCTCAACCTGTTTGACAACCGGCTGGAAGGGACGTTGCCGGGGGGGATAGCTCGGTCGCCGAACTTGTACGAGCTCAAATTGTTCAACAACAAGCTCAGCGGCGAGTTGCCGAGTCGACTCGGCGAGAACTCGCCGCTGCAGAGGATCGACGTGTCTTACAACGTGTTCGGCGGTGAAATCCCCGGAAATTTGTGCAGGAAGGGCGTTTTGGAAGATCTAGTTATGATATATAATTCGTTTTCCGGGAAACTCCCGGAGAATCTCGGAAAATGCCGGAGCTTGAGCAGGGTTCGGCTCAAGCACAACAAGCTTTCAGGTACTGTTCCTGAGCAATTCTGGGGTTTGCCTCGTGTCTATTTACTTGACCTTGTTGATAACAATCTCTCTGGTCCGATCTCTAGCAAAGTTTCTGGTGCGTATAACATGTCTACATTGTTGATATCAAAAAATCGGTTTTCTGGGCTGATTCCTAACGAGTTGGGTTCTCTGGGCAATCTTGTTGAGATCTCCGCTAGCGATAATCAGCTGACGGGACAGATTCCGGAGAGTTTGGTTAAGTTGAGCCAGTTGGGAAGACTTGATCTTAGTCGAAATGAGATTTCCGGTGAGATTCCGGTGGGGATCAAAGCTTGGAAGAAGCTCAATGAGCTCAATTTGGCTAACAATAGGCTATCTGGTGAAATCCCAAGTGAAATTGGAAGCTTGTCAGGTCTAAATTATCTTGATCTTTCTGGGAATTCTCTTTCCGGGGAAATTCCCACCGAGTTGCAAAACTTGAAGCTTAACTCGCTAAACTTGTCGAATAATCGGCTTTCCGGTGATCTTCCTCCTCTTTATGCAAATGAAAATTATGAGAACAGTTTTGTGGGCAATCCAGGCCTGTGTGGTGACCTTCCTGATCTTTGTCCGAGAGTAGGAGGAAGTAAGGACCTGAAATACATTTGGATTCTCCGATCAATCTTCGTCCTTGCAGCCATTGTTTTTCTTGTGGGAATTGTTGGGTTCTATTTAAAGCACCAAACTTTCAAGAAAAACAAGAAAGGAATCGCAATCTCTAAGTGGAGATCCTTTCATAAACTTAGTTTCAGTGAGCTTGATATAGTCCAATGCCTTGACGAGGACAATGTGATCGGTAGCGGGGCTTCGGGGAAAGTCTACAAGGTGGTGCTCGGCAACGGTGAGGAAGTGGCGGTGAAGAAACTGTGGGGACGAGGAGCAAAGAAATACGAAGAAGGCAGTGTCGAACCAGAGAGAGGCGAATTCGAAGCTGAAGTCGAAACGCTAGGAAAGATAAGGCACAAAAATATTGTCCGGCTATGGTGTTGTTGCAACTCAGGAGATTGCGAACTTCTGGTCTACGAATACATGCCCAATGGGAGCTTGGGGGATTTGCTGCATAGCAGCAAGGGAGGCATGTTGGATTGGCCGACTAGGTATAAGATAGCGCTAGACGCAGCCGAAGGGCTCTCTTATTTGCACCACGATTGCGTGCCGCCAATTGTTCACCGGGATGTCAAATCCAACAACATTTTGTTGGATGGAGAATTTGGAGCTAAAGTTGCAGATTTTGGGGTTGCCAAAGTTGTATGTGGAGTCAACAAAGACGCAGAATCCATGTCTGTAATTGCTGGGTCTTGTGGTTACATAGCACCAGGTTTGTCCTCAATTACTTAAAATTAAGTTAATATCTCATTTCCTTCCAATTACCAACTTCCTTTTACTACAATATTAACTCAGTTTGTTGTGTTCCGTTTTTGCAAAAGCAGAATACGGCTACACTCTTCGAGTGAATGAAAAGAGTGACATCTACAGCTTTGGAGTGGTGATTCTAGAGCTGGTGACTGGTAGAATCCCGGTTGATCCGGAGTTTGGGGAGAAAGATTTAGTCAAGTGGATTTTCGCCACATTGGACCACAAAGGACTAGAACACGTAATCGACCCAAAACTTGATGTCGTTCACAAGGAAGAAATCGGCAGATTACTTAATATAGGCCTTTTGTGTACCAATTCTCTTCCCATTAACCGCCCTTCAATGAGAAAGGTCGTGAAGATGATACAAGAAGCAAGTTCGGATAACCAATCTAAGTCTGGTAGAAAGGATGGGAAACTCTCCCCATATTACTACTATGAAGATGCCTCTGATCAAGGAAGCACGGTTTGAACTTTGAAGAGAGAGAAAGAGAATATCCAGTTCAGAGAGAGAGATTCATATTAGGACACTTTTGAATACCGTATGCGATTGTAGCATTGTAGGCGATTATTTTGCTCGTTTTGTTACGTTAGAGAAATTGTAATATGCAAGTGTAAGAAGTGTCAAAAGGGTGGGTATTTCTGCACAAAAAACAGCTGTACTACACACAAAATAGTAGGTGAAACTTGTAATGATCCGTTAGGTGTGAATGTCTCTCATTGGTGAACTTACTTTCCATTTTTCTTCCTATATCTGCAACTATACAGTGGAGATCACTGCAGAGACGAGCTTCCAACTGGCAGGACAACTTTGATTTCATTTTCATATTTCATGAATTTCCATGTTTTTTTTTTTTCTTTCTTTTCCTTCTCTTGTATAAGGGAGGTAAGTGGGACTAGGAAAACGATAGAGTTGTTGCTAGTTTTTAATGAAGGTGGTCTTATTGGTTTCCACGCTATTGGGTTCAAACTAATAGAGGGGAAACGCCAATAATATGGCATGGCCATTTTTTTTTTAAATAAATTTAAAAGGTTTACTCTCAATGTTTGGATGTTTCTCTCTAGGAATATCCATGAAGTAAACCGTGAAATATTGGATTATATTGCAAATTACAATTGGTTAAATTTACACGATGATTTTCTCCATAGCATAAACACTTGATGAACTAACTAGTAGCTAGCAACTTCATTCCTTGCGTCTACAAAGAGAGTAGATTATTTGGAAATAAAGGAATTAAAGAACCACCGGGAAGTGGTGGTATAGTGGTCTCAAATCTAACCTAACCCGTTCAATTCGCTAATTCGAGTTAAAATGTGATGTTATGTGAAAATTTTTTACAGTAATAAAAAAATTAGATGTGACTATTTCTGAGAGTTTTTTACTGTAACAAAACTCGAATTTTAAACTTAAATCAACGAAAAAAATGAGTCATTATCTTTCACAGTCTAAGATTTGAACATTGATGGAATCGATTGATTCTTTCTATAAACGCTGGATGAGAGGGTGAGGACACTGAGAGTGAGGACACCAATAATGTCTCGCTAATAATTACTATAATTTTGGGTGGCCTTCATTTCAACTTTCTCCTTTTATTCGGAAATTGTTGACAAGTACAAGACTTCACAAAAATATCAGACCCAGTGGGTCACTAGTTTCTCTAGATGTTTTCATTTGTCACCATGAATTTAATTCGATCAATTAAATGAACGAAAAGGCCTCAAAACAATTCAACTTTTATGAGGGCTTTATACGCCACAGGCCATCATAACTCATAACTATCTTTCAACGCTTATCCGTTTACAAGGGGGAAAAAAAACCAAGAAAGAACACCATTTCCATTTAGTGCATGGAGGTGGCATAGAATGATCCAACTCAAACTTCTAAATCATGATCATCAATGATCGCACAATACGTGTAGATGACAATTTATTGGGCAGTAGAGGACTAAAGTATGCCCCCAATTATATAATATATAAATAAAAAACAAATTGTTATAAAAATAAAATATGTATTCTTCACGAGTAAGATGGCGTGTTATTTATAGAAGTAATAATGCTATTTAACACAAATAGTAGTAAACACATCTACTAATAGAGGGTACGTTCATAACACAAAATTTATATAACATTCTATTAATGATGGTGCTTAACACGCACTGATATTCTAAACATTTTTCTGATGAAAACTCTCTGCTCTCTCTCTCTCTATATATTTTCTTTCTTTCTATCCAGTCTCTAGACATGAATCCCACTTTAAAATGAGTTGGTATCCTAATATACTTCTTGTTAAGGATGATATCCTCATATACTACTTACGCGGAATCATTTAGGAAACGTGTAGTGCTTTTAGTAAATAATATGTTAACTACAATTATTAATAAATAGTGCTTTTAGTTTTAAAGAAGATTGTATGTAAAAAATTAGGTATATTGTAAGTAAAAAAAAAAAAAAAAAATAACCTAACCCGTTCAGTTCGTTAATTCGAGTTGAAATGTGATGTTATGTGAAAATTTTTTACAGTAATAAAAAAATTAGATGTGACTGTTTCTGAGAACTTTTTATTGTAATAAAATTTAAATTCTAAATTCGAATCAGCGAAAAAAACGGGTCATTATCTTTCACAGTCTAAGATTTGAACATTGATGGAATCGATTGATTCCTTCTATAAACGCTGGATGAGAGAGTGAGGACACCAATAATGTCTCGCTAATAATTACTATAATTTTGGGTGGCCTGCATTTCAACTTTCTCCTTTTATTCGGAAATTGTTGACAAGTACAAGACTTCACAAAAATATCAGACCCAGTGGGTCACTAGTTTCTCTAGATGTTTTCATTTGTCACCATGAATTTAATTCGATCAATTAAATGAACGAAAAGGCCTCAAAACAATTCAACTTTTATGAGGGCTTTATACGCCACAGGCCATCATAACTCATAACTATCTTTCAACGCTTATCCGTTTACAAGGGGGAAAAAAAACCAAGAAAGAACACCATTTCCATTTAGTGCATGGAGGTGGCATAGAATGATCCAACTCAAACTTCTAAATCATGATCATCAATGATCGCACAATACGTGTAGATGACAATTTATTGGGCAGTAGAGGACTAAAGTATGCCCCCAATTATATAATATATAAATAAAAAACAAATTGTTATAAAAATAAAATATGTATTCTTCACGAGTAAGATGGCGTGTTATTTATAGAAGTAATAATGCTATTTAACACAAATAGTAGTAAACACATCTACTAATAGAGGGTACGTTCATAACACAAAATTTATATAACATTCTATTAATGATGGTGCTTAACACGCACTGATATTCTAAACATTTTTCTGATGAAAACTCTCTGCTCTCTCTCTCTCTATATATTTTCTTTCTTTCTATCCAGTCTCTAGACATGAATCCCACTTTAAAATGAGTTGGTATCCTAATATACTTCTTGTTAAGGATGATATCCTCATATACTACTTACGCGGAATCATTTAGGAAACGTGTAGTGCTTTTAGTAAATAATATGTTAACTACAATTATTAATAAATAGTGCTTTTAGTTTTAAAGAAGATTGTATGTAAAAAATTAGGTATATTGTAAGTAAAAAAAAAAAAAAAAAGTAAGTATTGATAAAAAAAATGTATTTAAATTTTTTTTGGAAAGAAAAAATGTATATAATTTGAGGCTTTATGGAAGTAAATATGATAAATTCCAAATTTATCAAATTAATTTGCTTATGGGATAAATCCGGGTAAATAATAATTGAGCATATTAGGTATTGGATTTACCGAATTTATCAAATTTGGTCATGGGGTAATTCTCAGATTTACCATAATTATCAAATTTAATCATGTGGCAAATCTAGATTTACTTCTGTTCGCTAACTTATATGAATTTTTTGCGATTTATTTTTATTCCCAGCAAAAAAGGTTATTAACTACCTCCTCCTAAAGATTTTAGGGTAAATTTTACGCACGGATTAATAACTAGACTTCATAAGTGGTATTAGCCATAATTTAGAGAGTTGAAATACAAATATACCACACGTTTAAATTATAGTTATTCACCTGTGATATAATTTTTTTTAAATAGTATAAAGATTTTCAATCTCTAGAAGTGGTATCCCTCTATTTCACCCCAAATTTACACCACCAAAATAGTAGAAAATAGACTAATATGAAAAGCTTAAGGAAGTATATAGACAAACTTTTAGTTATAGAAATTAATAGGTCATAACTTGTCAAATTATGGTTCATAACCAGATAAGTTATGGACAAACTTTTCAAGTTATGGTTCATAGCCAGCCAAATTATGGACAAAAATTGTGATTTATGGATAATAACTTGTCAAGTTATGGTTCATAATCAGACAAGTTATGGACGAAAATAGTAATTTGGCCTATTTATTAACTTATGTAAACTATTGGCATATTAATTTTAATTCATCTCAAGTCTTGGCCTATTTCTCTGTTCTCCCCACAAAATACTGACACTTGTAGGCGTGTAGCCACGTAGATCTCTTTTATGGGCTTATATATTGGGCCTAGATATATATAGTACAGGAATGGTGTAACAAACGTCCACAACCAGCCATACTGTATGGATGAACAAGAATATTTTTGTTTCCGAACTTGGGCGGGGATTTCTGAACTTACACCTTATGATAGAATCAAATGTCCAATATCACTAGATTATATCCGTGATCACTGAACAAAAACCATTTTGGATACCTAATAGTTTGACTGTTTTGTTTATCATAATAAATCATTTGTTATATAATCTTAATATTTTATAATGAAATTTCTACACTAAGAGCTCTACAACCTTTTAATTTAGTCAAAATCAATTATGATATCAAATGGAAATAATCAATATTGAATTAAAACAGAACTGCAGATTTTCTTAATCAACTTGATCAGATCCTATAGAGAGGAAAAAGAAAAAAACACAAAAAATACTGTACAAATTAGGACAACTTTGATTCGGCATTGTGGCAAAAAGTATTGGAAAAATAGCTTCAATATTATAATGGCAGGAGTCGAAATTGTCTGTGAGGCGTTAAGCTCACTCATGTAGCAGCATATATATGAATTGGATAATTACCTATTAATTATTTTCCTCCGCTTTCCCTCCTTATATCTCAAAACTAATGTAATAATTAACTACATCAGGCCCATATTTTATTCTGAAATCCTTAAATATTAGCCACGCAGCAGCCGGCAATATTTCATGTTCTTCGTTTTGTGCTTATCAGTTTACCTTTGAAAATAAGATTATTATTAAAAACTTGAAGCAATACATCTTTTTAGAGCAGCTAGTTTCTTGAGAAATAAATTTTGATGTCAAGTAGTTAATCCATGCAATTAGGTGGCAATAGCAAGTAAGGGATCGGAGAGGATTGCCGGGGTGGGATAAACTATATTATATATATACATATATATATATATATATATCTGTGTGTGTGTGTGTGTTAACGTGATGATTATGGCCGGAGAAAAGGAACTAAAGTTTTATAGGATCCATGGATAATTGTGAATTATATTCTAATATTCAAAGATATCTTTCTCTGAAGTCATGAGCGTTTCCTTTCTTGTACACTGCAATTAGTAGGTGTACTCTTAATATTGTATTTTAGCTCTGGCATGTGACGACAAAACTTGAGCCAGATTAGTCTACAGCAGATTCAAAAAAGATTGGAAGTGGAAGTTGATGAAACTGCCATAGAGAGAGAGAGAGAGAGGTTTCTTGCGTTGTATGATAAGTCTACGTGAAGGAATAGAATAATGGTTGGCTATGAATTTTGGCTTCATCTACTTTTTAAACTGCCATATATATATTGTTGAAAAAACACATACGCCCACAAAAAGTAAGAAAAATTCACAAATAATTTTAAAATTACGCAATTAATAAACTTTTTTACTTTCTTTTTCTATCCGAAATTTCGTACACCATTTGTCTTTCTCTCTCTTTACTTTTCTTTCTCTCTCTCAAAAAGAGACACTCTTTTTTTACACTTTTCCCTTAACACACAAAGCTTTATACGAAGCATTTATTTATAGACACCTAATAACCTTTGTCCAAAGATAGAAAATAATAACTTACCAAAAAAAAAAAACACAAAAGTAGTTATTTTCTCAAAACTAATTTGAGACAATTACCTAACAATCTCCACCTTAACTTAAATTCTCTCAACTCACTCATTTGGCTATCTAATCTCGACACTCATTACGCTCCTCATTGATGGGATGCCGACGATGCTACTTCAACAAGAATAAACATGTGCAAAATTTAAACTCTCATCAAACTTGACACGATGAACTAACTTCTTCTTCAAAGTATCTTCACTGTTAATATGTTATAAGTCTTCACCATCTTGCCATTATTGCCTTCAGCTGTCATCAACATCTTGTCACATTCTTTTACTCCTGTAACTTTTTTCACAATAGAAGAAAACACTCAATAGCTTGGCTCACCTTAATAACTCTACCTACAACTGTCGTTCCAATAAGTTTGTATAAATTTTTCACTTTTTCATCATTCATGGCTACTAAATCACCTCTCTTAACCTGTATAAAACCATCCTTCACATAATACTCACAACCCAAATATGTCTAAAGCCCCCCCAAATAAGTTAAACATCTCCTTAGTTGAAGAACATGCCTAACATTTGTCAATGTCCTCACAACTTCATCAAACATCTTCACATTCACAGTACCTATTCCAACAGCTTTAGCACTAGAATCATTAGCCATCAATAGAGTACCAGCATCAAAGGGCTTATAAGAATTAAAGCACTCATTATATGGACATATATGAAACGAACATTCAGAATTTAAAATCCAAGAATCAAAAATATTTTCATCAACAATAACAAAATAAACATCATTTTCACTGTCATACTTGTCGCCAACAACATTTACAGAATCTGAAATCTCTTGGGGTTCTTGTTTTCTCTTTTCTTTAAGGTGCTTCGTTAGTTGTTCATAGTTTCTCCTAATATGCCCTTTCTTATGACAATAATAGCACTCAATATCCTTCCTTGGCTGAGATTGAGAATAAGCATCTCTCTTATCATAACATCTCCCTCGTGTCTTACTTCTACCTCTATTTGAATCTGACTTTGCCACTAAAACTTGTTCAGTATGAGACGTACTACATGGCTTCTTCATATTTACAATATTTAACAGAGCAGTCGTCACCTCATCTACAGTCAACGTCGTCTTTCTAACCAAAAATGGAGTCACCAAAGTCTCATATGATTTTGGTAGGGAGGCCAACAAAATTACCGCTTTATCTTCCTCATCAATTTTGACCTCTACACTTAACAATTGAGTTATGCACTTATTAAAATTATTTATATAATCCCTAACATCAGTTTCCTTATCCATCTTCAACTCATACAATTACTTCTTCAAATATAATCTATTTGTTAGGGATTTTGACCTATAAACTTTTTCTAATTTTTCCATAACTCAGAATGAGATGCCTCATTCATAATGTTATATTTTAATTTATGAGTCAAACTTAAACGAATAGTGCTTACTGCTCTCACTTCTAGTTCTTCTCAATCTTCATCTTTCATTCAGGCTTCTTTCCTTGTAGTACTGAATCAAAATATCCTTTATTGTACTCTGTCAGACGCTGAAATTACTTTTTTCATCAAACTGCTTAATCTGCTCAAATTTTATCCTAGAAATCATATTGACTTTTTTTTCGTTTTTTTTTTCTTTAAATCTTCACCTGACTCTGATACCAGTTGTTGAAAAAACACACCCATCCACAGGAAAAGGAGAAAAATTCACTAACAGTTTTAGAATTACACGCTGAACAAACTTTTTCATTATCTCTCTACCTAAAATCCCGTACACTATTTGTCTATCTCTCTCCTCACTTTTCTCTCAAAACTAATTTGAGGCAATTACTTAACAATATATATATATATATACCTCTTTCTATATGTCATACGTTAGGTTGCCTCATCTCCACTCAACCTGTTTATAAACTTATGTTGGTGTTGTTTTAACAAATCAAACTTTGCCTTTGGACAGCGTAAAAAGGAGGAACCAGAACTACTACATTTATCCTCCTACAAGTTTTCCCCTCTATTGTTGTACATTTTACAAAGAGCACAACCCAATTAACTTCAGATCCAAGCAAACCCTTTTGTTCTTTCTCTCTCTAATCACTCATAATCTCTCCTAAACAACCTCATGACTCTATTTCTTCAAGTTTCAGCTTCTTCATTTTGATTTTTTTAGCGC